CCTCTGCCTCCCCTCCTCCAAGCTGCAGCTCCAACCCAACTTTTCCAACTCTTCTTCCCTTTACTCCTCCCTAGTCTCCTCATCCTCCAGCACCCTAATCCCAACTAACTCCTGGTGTCCTTTGGGCTTCAACATCAGTCCAAGTCCCAGCTAGTCGCATGCAGCTGCTGCCCTGTGGATTTGGGGGCTCTGCCCTCACTGCRGGGGAGCACAGTGGGAGGCCTCCCTGCCCTGGGGTGCTGTAACTGCCTACAGGTTGAGGAGCCTACCTTCCCCTCCCCAGCAAGGCAYCAGGCTCCCCAGGAACCCCAGAGCTGGCTCCTCTGTGGGGTCTGCCTCCTCAGGGCTCCTGCTCAACACAGTGGGCACCGGGGCTGGTCGCTCTCGGGTGGGTGCCCAGTAGCCTCACCTGCTCATCTCTACAGCCACGCTGCTCAGGGGCCTGGGGGCCCCACTGCCTACTGGGGATGCACAGGTCTGGTGGTCACACCCAGTACCTCTGTCCGGCAGGGCTCCCCCCTGCGGCCAGGCCACAGCTTCCTGCGGGATGGCACCTCACTGGGCATGCTGCGGGAGCTGATGGTGGTCATTCGCATCTGGGGCCTGCTGAAGCCCAGCTGCCTGCCCGTGTACACAGCCACCTCGGACACCCAGGACAGCATGTCCCTGCTYTTCCGCCTGCTCACCAAGCTCTGGATCTGTTGTGAGGCACCCCCAACTACTAGTCCTGTSTCCCTACCAAAGTCCAATCCCTAGTTGAGATGCTCCGCCAGAGTATAAGCTCCTGTAGGCAGAAAGGCGCCTTGAGTCCCTCGGGTAGCCAGCCCAGCCCTGCCAGGTCCAGTTGGGCTGGGCAGCCCTTGGCGCCAGCCATCAGGCGGCTGTACTGGTTCTGCTCCCAGTGCCTAGAAAGGGCACTGGTGCTTGCAGAAGAGTTCTTTGGAGGGTACTTGGCAGTCCCTGCCCCACAAAGGCTAGTGAGGCCAGGGGCACGAAGGAGCTTTCCAGGTCACCCTGAATGTCCCCTGGGCCTTRTGGGCCAACTGGTCACTGAGACCACTTCCGCACAGGCCGAGACGAGGGCCCATCTAGCGAGCCAGATGAGGCACTAGTGGACGAGTGCTGCCTGCTGCCCAGCCAGCTGCTGGTCCCCAGCCTGGACTGGCTGCCCGTCAGCGATGGTCTGGTCAGCCGCCTGCAGCCCAAGCAACCCCTACGCCTGTACTTCGGCAGGGCACCCACGCTGCCAGGCAGTGCCACCACTTTGCAGCTAGACAGCCTCTCCAGGTGAGTGGCAGCCCTGCCCGCCACTTCCAGGGGGCCTCCCCAGCCCGCTCACACCCTTGCACCCCTCTTGGGCTGGCCATCTCGCTGTGTGCAGGATGCCACCCTGGCTGGCCTCTGGAGTGTGGGGGGTCCAACCTGGTGCTGAGCCAGCCCTGTCCTGGGCAGTGGCACCCAGGGGACCTCCTGACTCCATGAGTAGGTGAGAGGACCAAGCTTCTGAAGTCACTGGGTGGGGACCCAGACCACTCAGAGGCCCCACCCAAATCCTGGTCACCGCGGAAGCTGTGAGGCTCCCTGAGCAATAGTGCTGGGGACTGAGCAGCATAGGGGTGGACAGGGCGGCTCCTGCTGCCCCGCTGGCCAGGCAGGACACAGGTATGTCCTAGGACTGGACAGGAAGCAGCGCAGATTGACGGGTTGTCGGTGATGTCAGTGTCTTGGAGAWGGAGCCCTACTTTTCTCTTTAATAGACATAAAATTGGAGGGTTTTTTCCAGCATAAAAAATATGTAGATATAGAAACAAAGGCCAGGGCGTGACAGGGAGGGGATGCTGTGGCCACCCGGGAAGCTGCCAGGCTTGGCCAGCCCTCTTGGTGGTCCTCTGGTGCTCACGTGGAGGGGGGGGGGAGTCTGGAGCCTGGCTTTGGGTTTCAGGGAAAGGCAAGGGTGGGGCTGGGAGAAAGGGGCGGGGCTGTGCGGGGCAGGCTGTCACAGGGTCCCCTCTGGAGCTCTGTTCTAGAGAATTTAACCCAGCTCTGCAGAAGCCACTTGAAGGGCCGTCCCAGCCCCTCAGGCAGTGCTGCTCCCAGGCTCTTGGGGCATGCGGGGTGCTGGCCTTTGGGGCCTGCGTGCCTGGGCAGCTGTGTGCACTGCCCCCCTGGCCTGTCTTGCCCTCTGTGGGTACCACCAGTGCCCTGCCCACGCTTCAGACCCCTSTCAGCCAGGTCCTTGTCAGCATGCACCGGACTCCCGTGCCCCAACGGCTCCCGGTGCCCTGCCCAGCCCAGATGGTCTGTGCCCAATGGCCCCGCAGCCGTCCTCCCAGCCTAGACTCCAAGGGGTCCCAGGCCCAGGCCTGTCACGTGGCGGGTGCCTCCTGAGGGTCCGAGACTCTGACTCTCCGGCCTCAGTCTCCCCAGATGCAGGGCGACAGGCTCCTGTGATGTCACCTGGGAAACTGAGGCCGGAGGGTCACAAGTTCCAGGCCTGGTTCAACCCTCGGCACTGAAGGAGGGGAAAGGAGGGGGACGGCAATGGCCACAGCCTCTGGGTGGTGGCAGTCACCATTTCTGTGCCCGTGTACTAGTGTCCTTGTGCTCCACCTGTGTGCGTGCCATCCCATGCCACCAAGTGCAGGGCCACCCACTTGGGAAGGCCACGGGTGCCGGCCTGTTTCCTGTGCTCAGGGCACTTGGCCGCTGGCAGAAGCTGGTGTCCCAGGGTTGATACCTGATGGTGGGAGGAGACCCACTGTCCACCTGTGGACTCACCCTCCTGCCCCGTCTGGCCCTGTGCCCCRGCCCTCATGCCTCCCCTCCCGTCCCCAGAGCACCGGGCCAGCCTAAGATGGACCATCTGCGGCGGCTGCACCTGGGCGCCTACCCCACAGAGGAGTGCAAGGCCTGCACCAGGTGAGYGCCAGGCCTGCATCCTGGCTTCCCTCTTGGGGGCTGCGTCCCAGCCAGTGGCCTCCGGAGGTCCTGCCTGGCCGCAGGGTGGTGGGCACAACCTTCAGCATGACCTACCACCAAGTGACCAGAGAGTAGGTCCAAGTGCTCTGGGACCCTTGGGTCACCCATGGGCGCGGGCCAGGCCTTGGGCTGCTGGGAAGGCCCACGACAGGCACCCTGTAGCCGGCCTGTGCTTGCCCCCAGGTGCGGCTGCGTCACGATGCTCAGGTCTCCCAACAAGACCACGGCGGTCAAGCAGTGGGAGCAGCGCTGGATCAAGAACTGCCTGTGTGGGGGGCTCTGGCGGCGGACACCCCCCAGCTGCCCCTGAGCGGTGCTGCCCAGTGGGCTGGGTAGAGACTGGGTGGACTCCATGGTGCTGGCCCCACAGGGCCCTAGAGCTGGACACCCTTCCTTCCCTGCCTGTCTTGGGGGCTGTTGGAGGCACGAGGACCCTCACCCCTGTCGGCGGGCCCCTCGGCATCAGGCCTTGGCTTCTGGGACCGCCCACCCCGCACCTCCCCAGCCAGCACCCCGAGTGCCTGGTCCCTGCCCCAGGACTAGTGGGCTACAGGCCCTGTCCTGGGGACTTGCTGGCCACCAGCCAGTTGCTGCAGGCCACATGCTGCCTCTGTTTCCCTCCTGTTCCTCGAAGGCCCTTCCAAGCAGGGGTTGGGACAGGGCTGAGCCGGGCCTTCTGTCCCCGGGCCCGGTTGTTACTGTGGGCCCCTGCACCGCACTGGGGCATCTCGCTTGCTCTGTCCTGAGGTCAGCCAGCATTTACGGTCATCAAATGGACGCCCACCAGGCCCTGGTGTCTGTGTTGGCCAGAAGGRGCAGAGGGTGGAGGGAAGGCCTGGAGCCTCCATCCCTGTGTGTCCTTGCCCTGGGCTCTGCCCTCCTGTCCCCAGCCCCTCCCCTGCACTGGTGCTGCTAGCCCCAGGCCCTGGTTCCCAGTGCTCTGCCTCATGCCCCAGGGGTTCTGCCTTCTGGCAAGGAACATTTCTGTCCATTATGTGCTCTGGGCCAGCTGCCCCCAGGTGGGCAGGCCCTGCAGACATGCTGCCTGCTGAGTGATAATTGGTTTGCTTGTTTTCTTTCTGGAAGGCTCCAGGAGGGCAGCAGCTAACTCAGCATGGCTGTCTGCACTTGGTCCTGGCCTGYCCCTCGCCTGGCGGGGGTTCCTGAGCCTGGTGCTAGGCAACCTGTGGCAGCAGACCCCATCCCCGCYGGCCTCCACCAGAGTGAGGCAACAGCCTCCTGGGCCAAGGTGCCGCCTGGGGTGGGCGACAGTGCCCRGGCCACTGCCTGATGGACAGGGCCTCCACCCGGCCCCTCCCTCCAGCAGGCATCCTCCCTGGCCTGGGCCGCCCAGCAGACACCTGCAGATGATACCAGGTCCCCTGCAGAGGCCTGGGTGCAGTGGGTGGGCTGGCCTGGGCCACCCCCTCTCTCCTGGCTCTTCCCCTGCCCACAGTCAGGAGCCCTAAGCCCAAGAGAGTTGATGTCCCTGGATGAACAACTGCCATTTCATGTTGCTGTGTCAAGCCTCTCTGTCCTGGGCACCTGGCCCAGTATCGGCCAGAAGGTGGGGTGGGAGAGCACTGTGGGGCCTGACCCCTCGGCTCTTTCTGGAATGTTCCATGAGCTAAGACTGATGGCAGGATGGGACTAAGGTGCCAGGGAGTCTAGAGCTGGACGGGCTGGCCCTGTCTCTGTTGTGATTCAGGGCTGTGGCCGCAGGCCACTGGGCTGACGCTGGCCCTGGGAAAAGGGCCTGTAGCAGTGGCGGCATGTGGCGGGGTGCTCCCTTGCTGGGCTTCMGTTGGTTTGGCCGGGAGGAGAGGCGGGCTCTGAAGGCCCCTGGCCCCAGGGCTGTTGAGTAAGACCTCCCAGGCCACCCGGCCCGGCGCCACAAGGTATCAGGGAGTTCAGGGGAAGTGGATCTCAGACCACCAGCCCTTGGCATGTGTCCAGGAGGGGGCTTGCAGGCTGTGGGCGCCTTCACATTGTCACAAGGGTTTGTCTTCCCCAGTCCCCTGAGGCTGGCAGCTTCCCTGGGAGACCTAGTACTGCCTGCTGCCACCCCGAGCCGGGCTGACGGCTGGCAGCTGCAGGGCCAGCCACGTTAATGACATGCCACACAGTGGAGGATTTGCCAAGCCCCTCAGGGTGGGCCCAGACCTCAGCTGTGTCTCTGGCCCCCRTCCCAGGGCTGGCACACAGTAGGTGCTCTACAGAGACTGGTGTAGGGCTAGAATTCCTGGGTGAACATTCCATAGCATCAATAAGCCAAGACACGGATTCCAATATGGTCTTCCCGTTCCCAGCGCGGTCCGGGACTTCCTCTCAGACCCTAGGTCTTCTTTTCAACAAAAAGGAAACCATATGATCTTCCTTTTGTATATCCAGCTTGCTGCTGTGGGCCTCCCTCACCGCTACTCTGGGTGGCCTGGGCCCGAGTTCTGTCCTGTCACCTCCCCGTTGTCTCTAGAGGTGCAGGCTGTGTAGAGCTGCCAGCTACACGGGGCCCCAGTAGACAGGCTGCTCTGGACACCCCAGCTTCCTCATCACGTGGCCCTGCAGCATCCCACGGCTTCAAAGCCATGCCTCCTCCTGGAGTGTGTGTGACCCCTGAGCCTGTTTCCCKTTTGGGACACGCAGCAGGTCGTGAGGCAACAACTGTAGCGGTCTCTGAGTCACCGCCACATAACTACCCTGCACGTTTCGCTGGAAAGCGGAGGGCGGGCCGGATGGGAGCTGGTGGGAGAGGGGTACCCCACCACTCGGCTTCCCGGGAGGGGCGAGGGCGCCACCGTGTGGTCRATGCCGGAACCACACCCGACAGCTTCCGTGCTGAAAGAGCCTCCGGGATTGGGGGACGCCCCTGGGCGTCTCCCTGGGGGCAGGTGCTCAATAAAGATGCTGGACATAGGAACGAACTTCTTTATTACCCTCTCCTCGTGCCCCGCGCCGTAGGGCCCGCTCAGGCCTCCGCGCCCTCTGCCAGCACGCCGTCGATCCAGGCCGTGTAGCTCGCCACGCGGGTGTAGATGCCCGGCTTCTTGCGGTTGCCGCACACGCGCGCTCCCGAGGTGACCACACCCTCGACCACTCCCCGGCACACCAGCGGACCTCCGGAGTCGCCCTGCAGGGCGGGCGGAGCGTGAATGCCGTGGGCCCGCCCKCCCTCCGCTCTCCCCACCCGCCAGCCACACTCCTGCCGCGTCTCTGCCGCTCCTCCCTCCCCTTACGCCCTTCAGTCCCGGGTCTCACTCGTCCGTCCCTGGACTCGCGTCCCGGGCCCCACCTCTCTCCTAACCCGCCCCTTCCCGCGCACCCTGCAGCTGTCGCGGCGGTTGCTCTCCGCGCACATCATTCGCGGGGTGATGGCGCCGTCGTGGTACGTTCGCAGGTTGCAGGTAGCGCGGTCCAGCACCGGCAAGAGCACGTGCTGCAGGCGGTCAGGCCGGCGGCCAGCGTGGCTGACCACGCCCCAGCCGGCCACGTCGCAGAGTGTGCCGGGCGCCACGTCGCGGTCCTCGCGCTGCAGGGCGAGAGGCTGTACGGCCGGGCCTAGTGCCGCCTTCTCCGACAGCTGGAATGGGGCAGAGGTGGACGTCAGGGCCGCGCGCCGGCGCCGAAGCGCGAGGCTGCGGCTAAGACGCGACGGGGGCGCGCAGCGGAGTGGGGTTTCGGCGCCACCGGAGAGAAGGTGACTGGAGTGGGGATGGGGAAGCGGGTCAGAGCGGGGTGGGACACCGTCCCAGCGCAGCAACAGAGACCGTGGCTGGCCTGCGCCGACCTGCAGCAGGAGGAGGTCGTGGTCGATGGTGTCCGGCCTGCTGTCCGGGTGGGGCACCGCTTGGCGCACGTCGTACCGGCGCTTGGAGGGTTCGGGCTGTGATAGGGAGTGCGCACCTAGGAGCACCTGCACCTTCCCTTCGGCCCTGGGGGCGCGGGACCAGGTCAGTGCCTTGGCCGCCCCTCCCGGGACCCGCCCGCAAACCCGTCCCTCGGCCCGCCGGCGGTGGCTGCTCACGCGTCGTCCAGGCAGTGCGCAGCGCTCAGCACCCACTGCTCGGTGACCAAGACGCCGCCGCACCGGTGTTTGCCGTCCACTTGCACCGACGCCAGGTAGGGCCGCGCATGCGCCTCGGCTTCCCGGCCGCCCAGGATCCGACCGCGAGGCTGGGCCGCTGTGGGGGCGAGAGGACATGAGGACGGCGCCCCAGAGAGGCCCAGCCTCCGACGCCAGCACCCATGGACGCCTCAACTGAAATCTCATCTCTGGCATGTGGGGCCCCAGGAGCGGCAGAGAGTGCCCAAGGCAGAACACTACGGAGTGAGGGGGTCTGGGGCAACTTCCAGCCCSACACCCTGGACCCGAGGGCTTGGAATTAAACCTGGAAAGGGAGCTGGCCAACCTTATCCCCCGGCGGCCGGCCGGCCAGCCGGCACTAAGGACACGTTTTCGCTGCAGAATTTCAGCCTCACTGCGCTGAGGCGGCTCAGACCAGACCCAGTGCTTGGCGAGTCCTTGGCCCCAACTCCAGGGTTCTCCCCCAGGCCTGGTGGGCTCCCCATCGGCGGCTGGGCACATCCCCAGGTCCACTCACCACACACTGCGGCCCCCAAGAGGACCAGAGACGCCAGGCACGTAGAGCCTGGCATGATGACACCACGGTGGCCTGAACACTGACCAGGCAGGGGCCTCTGGGCCCTTTTATGAGGGCGGAGGGGCGGAGCTGACCATCTGCCAGCTGGGCTTTGGCCAGCAGGGAAAGGGGAACTCGCTCTCCCCAGACCCAGAGCACACAGCTTTGCTGACTCTGCAGGGGGCTGGCCCCTAGGGTGGGCGGGAGAAGGAGAGGAGGGGATGGACCCTCAGCCCCTGTCCCCTGAACCCCTGTCCCTTCAACTCCTGACCCGTGTCCTTCCAGCCCCAGATTTCACAATAGCACCCGGAGGCTGTGGTTTGTAAACAACCCACTTCATCTGTCCAACCCTCCCCTTTCTTCCTCCTTCAACTTGGAGAGAAGGTCAGGTGTTGGGGGTGGAGGTCACCCAGCAGTCCTGTCCCCATCCCTGTGGCCTTGGGGCCTAAAACCCCAACAAGTGGACTATTAGAAAGGTGGCACATACGAAGCAGATGAAAAGACCATTGGGTATGAGTGACAGAAAAACCAAGTCAAACTGGGCACAGCTTTCATTAAGAAGAGTAAATGGAAAATTCATGGTCTGCCTTCAGGTGTGACTTGATCCAGGTGCCTGACCAACATCAGGTGTCTGCTTCTGGCTTCTCCTCTCTTTGATGTCTTTTCTCCTCACCAGACTCCCCTGTTGTGGTCCCAGGGTCCCCAGACTTGCTCYAGCAGCTCCCTGGGCCCTTCTAAATCATCAGGACAGCCAAAGTCTCAGGGCTGCCTCTGGTTGAGTGAGCATGGATCACGTGCTCACTCCCCAGCTACTCTCTGTGGGCATGTTCTGCTGAGCAGGCCCTGAGCTGTGCCCTCTGGAGCAGGGTGGAGAGAGGACCCTGAGCTGTGCCCTCTGGAGCAGGGTGGAGAGAGGACCCTGAGCTGTGCCCTCTAGGGCAGGGTGGAGAGAGGACCCTGAGCTGTGCCCTCTGGGGCAGGATGGTGGTCAACCTCTGGGCAGAGACTGGGGTGTGGACGCTGCCCCCTGCCTGTTCTCTGGAGACAGGCTGGTGCAGACATGGGGGTACAGTGTGACCTGCCCGTGCACTGGGAACTTCAACTGAGCCTGGGACAGCTGGGCCCAGGGGAAGGGGCAGGGTGAGGATCCCCACTGCCTGGCCAGGAATTCTTGCCAGGGAGGGGCGGGCCCTGAGTCCACAGGGGTGGCTGGGGGGATGCTTGTCRGGCACACACCAGCCCCAGGTCCATTCCAGCACCAAGAAGAAAGGAAGGGAGCTGGGCTGGGGCCCAGTGGTAGAGCGCTTGCCTAGCATGTGTGAGGTGCTGGGTTCGAGTCTCAGCCCACATATGAATAAATAAAGCCCACTGACAAGTGATAAAGTGTTTGTTAATCTGTGGTGCTGGGGATCGAACCCAGGGCCTGGTGCATACAAGGCCAGCGCTCTACCAACTCAGCTGTATCCTTAGCCCCTAAGAAAATGTTTTTTAAAGAAGAGGAAAGGTTCCCGACAGAGGGCACTGGGACCTGGGACAGAGGGAGGGGAGCTGTCCCCACCTCCTGGGCACTTCTCTCCTCTGCTGGCTGGATGGGGTGGCCTCCCTCCTGGCTGCCCAGGGCTCCTCTGCAGACTCCCCAGAGGGAGGTGCTCCGCTGCCCTGGGAACCCGGAAGCCAGCCAGGGTGGGAGCAGGGCCCAGCTCGGCTGCCCGGACGCCCCTCCCTGACACCACCCAGCCTCAGCACTAGCCATCAGGCTCAGAGGACCAGGGCCACCGAGCAGGAGAGCACCGCCCGGCTCTGCCCCTGGTCTCCGCCCCGCCACCCGGCAGTGGCCTGGAGGCTGGAGAGCCTGCTGCCCTGCAGCTGTGACCCCTGCCCSAGCCTCCAACAGGCGGGTGCCTAGCGGAGCCCCCACGGGGTCCTGGCTGGGAAGCAGGCGTTTCCTGCCGCCCCTGGAGGCCGTGCCACTCCCACCTCCCCCAGGGCTCTCTCCAGGCTGCAGGGAGACGCCTTCCGCAGACAGGACTTTTATTTTGCCGGGTGAGGAAATGGGGTGGGGTGGCCCAGCCGGGCGGCGGGGGTGGCCCTCTTAGTTGGCCCTGCTCACGGGGTCCCTGGGGTGGGAAAGCGGGCCGTCCGTGGGGCTGCGGATGACAGAGTTGATCCAGTCGGCGAATTTTGCCACTGGGGCAAAGGCATCGGGGTAGAGCCCAGAGCCGCAGCCCCCTCGGATGAAGGAGTCGATGCCCTGGACCAGCCCGTTGCAGACCAGGGGGCCGCCAGAGTCCCCCTGTGGAGAAGACCGAGGTCGGGAGGCTGGACCGCGGGCCTCYGGCCCTCCCACTGCCCTTCCGGGCGGGAAGTGGCCCAGGCAGTGTGGGGTGGTGGGCAGAGGAGCCGGGGGCACCTACGAAGCAGATGCCGGCCTGCCGGCGTGGCACAAACGTGCACACGTTGACCCGCCGGCGGCAGAGGGTGGTCACCACCGTCACGTTGAGTTCCTGTAGGACGCTGGGTGTCCGTCGGTTCGTGCCCAGCCTGCCCCAGCCCATGGCCAGGCAGGGCGTCCCGTGGCCCACACCGCGATCCTGGGCGGGCAGCTGGGCCACCTGCACGTGGTCATCGATGGTGGCAGACCCATTGAGCTGCCGCAGGGACAGAACACCAGGTGTCAAGGAGGCCAGACGGAGGTCCCCACCTGAGGCTGCGCCCTGCCCTCTGCTAAGTGAGACCACAGTAAACAGCAGGTGCTCAGTACTGCAAGCCGTGCCCCATGGTGACAACTCCCCAGGGAGCAACCAGAGCTGGGTCCCTCTGCCACCGCCCCTGCTCCAGCAGACGGGGGCTGGAGACCCAGGCGCTGACTTGCTTGCTGAAGCTGCCCGGGGCCGGGCTCCTGGACAGGGCAAGACTGGGCAGGGCCAGTGCCCTGCTGGGGCCAGGCCCATCACCCTGGGCCCTGGCCGGCCCGTGACTTGTCCRGCCTCGGAGCCTCGAGCCGCGGCACCTGTCCTGCTGGGTCACCTGGAGAATCACGATGTCGTTCAGCAGGCGCGTGGCATCAAAGCCGTTCTCAAAGACCCGCTGGACAGAGAAGACCTGCCGGGAGGGCTCCCGCCGCCGCAGATCGTGGGCACCCAGCACCACCTGCACCGACCGGAAGTTCCTGCAGCCAGGGGACAGCAGGCCTCGGGTGGGTGGCTGTGGGACCTCAGCCCTGCACGGGCACGGGAGGGCCTGGGGAGCCCAGCCTGGCCTCACTGCCCGTCCCGGGGTGGACACTCACAGGCCATTCACACAGTGCGCCGCCGACATGACGAAGTTCCTGGCGATGAGGGTGGCGCCACAGAAGTGGCCTCCCCGTCTCTGCAGAGACACCATGAAGGGCCACGCGTGGGGCCGGGCTGGCCGGCCACCCACGATCTCCGAGGCCAGCACTGGGCCTGGAGACACATGGGGTGGGAGCAGGAGTGGCCGGCCGTGAGTCCCTTCCACCTGGCCACTCTGCCCTCTGGACCCCACAGAAACCCACGGGGGAGATGAGGACATTGAGGCACAGCGGGGGACTGTGGGGGCCAGGCGCAGTCAGGGTGTCTGTTCACCCCAGATTCACAAATCCCGGCTCTGGCACCAGGTGTGACCTCTCCACTGAGAACTTCTGTCTCCTTTTCTGGGGTTTCAGTCCCGACTTTTACCACCCCATGAGAACGAGGAGACCCAGGTTTGGTGCCCAGTGAAAAGGTGGTAAAGGACATCCAGGGTCACTCACCGCCCAGCAGCAAGGCCAGCAGGACTGAAGTGAGGGCAGGGCTGTGGGCTCCACAGCTGTGGGTCATGGTGGGCCAGGGCTGCCGGTCTCTGTCCCACCAGACCCCCTGCCCTCTTATAGGCCCCCAGAGGGAGGCCGTTGTGTTGCCCCACTTCCTGTCCTCGGCACCAGGGCTGAGGAGGGGGGGCTGGCCCAGGCTCAGGCCGGGCCTGTCACCCTGCCACTTGGAAGCTGAGGCAGGAGGGTCACAAGCTCAAGGCCAGCCTGGGCAACTCAGTGAGACCCTCTCTCAAAACAGAAAACAGCAGCTCGCGTGGAGCCCCTGGATTCGGCCCCGAACCCCACAATTTGTTGAATGTCCACACAACCCTTTTTACAACACAGGGCCATACTGTTCACAAAGGGTGCAGCTGTGTCCCTGGCCCTGAGACCTGGTGGGCCCCGGCCCCGAGGCTTCCCGGTGAGGAGGGAGGGACAGCAGCTGCGCTCTCCACCAGGCCTCCGGGCCGTGCTCCCTGGTCCAGCCCTTCCTGGCCGCCTGGCTGGGCTGATGGGAGGACTCYGCTCCGGTCCTGCCTCGGCCCCACTTCCTCCCGCTCCCCGGGGGGCCACAGCCAAGGCTGTTGCAAGACCAACGTCCCCTGGCTGGGCAGGTGTGGGCAGGGAGCCACCCGGCCCGTCCCTTGGGTGGGGACCCCTCATCTCTGGGAGCTGCTGTCCTGTCTCCCAGAGCCTGCACACAGGCGGCGCTCAATCAGTGCCCCTGGCTTGGTCAGACACACACCCATTTGTCTTGCCCTCCCTTCAAGTCCCCACCCTGTTTCCTTGACACGACTGGAGAGYGTGGGGAGCACCCACTGTATACACAACCCTGTATCTTGCTGGAGGCTGGGGTAAACCCAGGGCCTCGTGCATGTGGAGGCCATGTCTGGGGAGTACACTTATTGAGCACCATTTGCATACTATGTTCCCATATGCTATGGTGGATAAGTGTGTCGATGCTGGGTTCAGCCACCAAGATGACTGCTCTGAGACCCAGTGTTCTCCTCTGTACAGTGGCGTCATAGAAACAGGTTCAGCTTTGTGGGATGTCACCAGTCCCCACACTTCCCTGAGATTCTTGCCTGAGTCTCCCTCTCCTCTGCCTCGCCTCCTCCTCTCCTCCTCTTC